CCCTCGCATCCGCGCCGGGCCGATTCCGCGGGGCAGGCCTAGGCCGCGCCGGTCGTACCCCGCACCTCGCTCCCGTGGAGGCGGAGCAGGCCCGACACAAACTTCCCGGCGCGCTAGCCCAGGCGTCACGGACGGGCCGGCTCAGCGCCATTCCCCGGCGGCAGCTCCCGCCCCGACTCCCCACACTCGGAGTCCCAGCGGAGACCGGCCCCAGGCCCAGGCGCCCACCCCTCCGGCGCCCCCAAGTGTACCTCCAAGTCGCGGCCTTTGTTCTTGAAATTCTTAAGCCGTTGGTTGTCCAGTTTCTCGTTGTCCGCCATGGCCGGGCCGGTGACTCCTTACCCCGCCCGGGCCCCGCGGGATCCGCCCCAACCACCGCGCCGCACCGACACTCCCAGGAACCGGCCGCCGCCTGAGCTGCTATGCCTGCCGCGCCGCCGCTTCCTTCCTCGTCTCCCTCGCCTCCGCCGCGGCCTTCTCCTCCTTTCCCCGCAGGCCCCCCCGCCCTAACCCCAGCACTACGGCAGCTCGGGCGAAGACAACTGCGGGGCCGGGCGGCGGCAACGGCGGCGGAATGTGCTGCCGGCTGAGAGGGGGAGGCAGCCTCGATCTGAGGACCCCGGCGCCGCGGCCACGCCCATCGCCGCCAGCCCAGCTCGCCAATTGGCCAACCGGCCTCCGGTGCGCTCAACCAATCACAAAGGGCGATGGAGAGCGGGGGCGGAAGAACGAACCCGGGGGGAAGAGAGCGACGCTGGGAGGAACGGGCCCGCGGACTGGAGGGGAGGGAGGGGAGGGGCACGGCCGGGCGGGGCGGGGCGGGGCGGGGCTGGGAGGGGCCACGTGCCTCTGGAGCTGAGGGGAGGAAGCGAAAAAGAAGTAGAGCACTGAGGGGAAGGAGAGAGACCTGGTGTTGGGCGGGGATGAGATGGCTCCCTCCGGTTCTCAGGGCATCCCCAGACGGCCGGGGTACGTTCTTTTTTTTCTGCCGCTGAGCCCTCTCTTTCAGGCCGTTCCTTGCGCGCTCCGCTGGCTTTGCGGGGAGTAGAGCTACACCTCGGTACCATCCCGGCTCGGGGGACCGCCAGCAGCACCAGTCCCCGGCAGGGGATCCCTGCCGCCTGTGGCCGGGCCTCCGGGCCTAGGTTGGGAGGAGTGAAGTGGGTGCCGGAGACGCCCCGGAAAGCGAAAGGGACGGTGGGTGGAGAAGGAGAGGCTCATTGCACAAATCTGATTCATCCCCTCAGACCAAGTGCTCGCAACAGGTAGGAACTTGGGAAAGCTAACGGTGAGGACACCACCTCAGGGATTTCGGAAGTTAAAGAAGCTACTTGGCCACAAAGTACGGTACTAACTTCTGGAGGGCGGGGACCATCGCACCTGACGCGGTAATATTGTAACTCTACTGGGAGAGGAAATAAATTTAAAGGTTACACATCTTTACCAGGAGCGTCGTTACCAGAGGCAGAAATAACACCAGACACAAAAGAACATATTCAAATATTTTTGAAAAGGGGAGGAGGAAACGGTTTAAATATATATTTAAATACCAAATAATGGCGCTCAGATGTACAGGGATACGTGAACTAGTGAGCAGCACCTCGAGTCAGAAGCGAGGAGCAGTAGGGTTAGATGTGCTTAAATTCGGCGAGGTAGGAGGACGAGACCTTGACACAAAGTCCTGCAGGGACTTTGGCTCCTCGTCCTCTTCCCTCCCGCTTCTTTACTAGTATATATATATATATGTTTAGTACAACAACGAGCCGCGATAAAAAGTTTAAAACGGCAAATGTTCGTTGAGGAAACACTTTTAAAGTCCAAGGAGGGAGAAAAGTAGAAAAAAAAAGTCAATGAGTCTATCGGTGTAAACCTGCTGAGTTCTTTTTGGGTGATGGGGATGAAGAGAGCTGGAGGACTTTAGAAGTCACATAAAACTCTGCCGTTGAGTCGATTCCGATTCATAGCGACCCTATGGCACAGAGTAGAACTGCCCCATAGGGTTTCCAAGGAGCGGCTGGTGGATTCGAATTTGGTTAGCACTACGCCCCCAGGACCCCTGGGAGTCACATCGAGAGGTGTTACAATGTACGTGGGTGGACGGGGAGTTAAACTTCTAAGCAGAATAATACCTTTGAAGTCCTCAATACTTTGTATACCTTCAACTGGACTATAGCAAACAGAAGCTGTGCATTTACATGGAAGGTTAACTTGAATGTAAATTCAATGCAGATTTTAAAATGCGCATTATGAAGTTCATTATAAATCTTTATTTCCCAGTGAATTGTTTAATTGAATAAACATTCTATTTGCATGCTGGAACACTGATGTTTTTCAAAATGAGTTTAGAAAGTTCAGTTGAAAAGTTGTAGTATGTGTGTGTTTTCTACTAGTATTTCAGTTGATCATGAGGAGAGTTCTAGAAGACAAAGGTATATTCCTACCCTATAGTTAGAAGTTATCCCATCAACATGCATGTATAGATGACAGTGCTTCTTGGAATAAATTCTATGATAGCTTTCGTGATGGTTATAGAATGTGTACCATTATAGAAGCCTTCATGTCTCCCAGCTACAACTACTTGTTTCTGACAGTTAAACAACAACTCGATATTCTCTCTCCAGAATACTCCTAAGAGAAGGGTGTCATCACAGCTACTAACTGAGAAAGATTCAGTACAAATAATAACTACCGCTTGTAATTTAATTTGCTCAATGTCTGTTTAAGGCCTGTCTCCGTCTCTAGACAGTAAGCTCCCTGAAGTCAATGACTATATTTGTTCTGCATGTTACAGTATACCCAACACCGAGTAGTACTTGGCAAATAGCATGCACTCAGTGACTATTTGTCAAATCAAGAATGAATGAATGATTTGAATCTAAGCTTCCTAAAATGTTCCTAAAATTGAAAAGCCGGTTAACACTTTTTGATGAAAATGTGAATTGAATTGTTAAGGCTTCTAATTTACACTGGGTTCTGTACTAAGAATTTTGGATTCGGTATCATGCTCATTCCAAGGTTTAAGTTAAGGGAATAGCTCAGTTATAGGTTTCAGGGCAAAACCCCCTGCATGTTTAAAAATAGTTGTGACATACTTTGCTAAGACAATTATCCTTAATTATAATTCTTAGGTAGTCTGTTTGGCAGCCTAAAGTTTTCATTTGAAATTTTCACACTCACCCTCCATTAGCTACCCAGTTTAATGTTTAGTGTCTTTACTCCCAGTTCGTTCCAGACAGAATAAACAGAATTTATCAGAAGGGCAAAGAAGTTCTTCAGGGTGTTAATAATAGGTCTAAAAGGCAGATCAGCAATCTAACTGGCAAAATATGGCAGGCCTAACTCCGGTTAAGAGGTTTCAGATGTTTAATTTGCTGAACACAAAGAGTACTTGAAACACTTACTGATGAAGATTAAAGACTGTAGCCTTCCATATGGATTACACCTGAAGATAAAACAAAAATCCTCACAACTGGACCAATAAGCAACATCATGATAAAAGGAGAAAATGTTGAAGTTGTCAAGGATTTTATTTTACTTGGATCCACAGTAAATGCCCATGGAAGCAGCAGTTAAGAAATCAAATGACGTATTGCACTGGGCAAATCTCCTGCAAAAGACCTCTTTAAAGTGTTGAAAAGCAAAAATGTCACTTTGAGGACTAAGGTGCACCTGACCCGAGCCAAGATATTTTCAGTTGCTTTATATTAATGCGAAAGCTGGACAATGAATAAGGAATAAGGAGAATTGATGCCTTTGAATTATGGCATTAGCAAAGAATATTGAATATACCATGGACTGCGAGAAGAAGGAACAAGTCTGTCTTGGAAGAAGTACGGCCAGAGGGCTCCTTGAAAGCGAGGATGCCAAGTCTTCATCTCACATACTTCGGACATGTTATCAGGAGGGACCAGTCCCTAGAGGACAACATGCTTGGTAAGGTAGAGGGTCGGCGAAAAAGAGAAAGTCCTTCAAAAAGATGGATTGACACAGTGGCTGCAACAATAGGCTCAAACATAGCAATGACTGTGAGGATGACACAGGACCGGGCAGTGTTTCGTTCTGTTATACAAAGGGTTGCTATGAGTCAGAAATGACTTACTGGCACCTAACAACAATAACAACAAGGAAGTAGTAAAATGCAGAGCTATTAATACCATTTCAAAGTAGACTAACAGAGTCTTGTATATATGCAATATATTTATTGTAACCAAACACTAGAAAACCTATTCTGCCCAATGATAAAATGGGCAGAAGACTTGAATAGATGTTTCACCAAAGAGGACTTTCAAATGGCCACTGAACACATGAAAAAATGCTCAACATACTAGCCCTTAGAGAGATGCAAATCAAACCACAATGAGATGCCATTTCACTCTCACTAGGATGGCTAAGATTAAAAAAAAAAAAGAAAATTTCTTTTTGGTGACGATGTGGGGAAATTGGAAGCCTTATCCATTGCTGGTAGGAATACAAGATGATACAGCCATTGTGGAAAGCAGTGTGGTTGTTCCTCAAAAACCTAAAAATAGAACTACCATATGACTGCGTAACTCCACTCTTAGGTATATGTCCAAAATACTTGAAGGCAGAGACTCAGAGACTTGTACACCAATGTTCATTGCAGCCCTATTCACAATATCCAAAAGGTAGAAACAACCTAAATGCCTATCAACGGATGAGTGGGTAAACAAAATGTGGTACATACATACAATGGACTACTACTCAGCCAGCAAGAGAAATGAAGTCTTGATACATGCTACAGTATAGATGGAGCGTGAAGACATTATGCTGAGTGAAATAAATCAATCACAAAAGCACAAATGTTGTATGACCTCACTTGTATAAAAAGACAAGAACAGGCAAATGTATGGAGACCAAAGTTTGTTAGTGGTTACCAGGGGTGGGGGGGAAAGGTGTGGTTATTGCTTATGGAGTACTGTGTTGTGGTTTACAGTGATGGAAAAATTGCATTGATTAAGGGTAGGGTTGCACAACCGATTAATGTAATTGCTGTCAATAAGTTGTACACCTGTAAAGAATTGAATTGGCAAAAATTGTGTGATATATTTATAACATGACCAAAAAAAGCATAGCTGTGAGCCTGCTTATGTACAACCAAACACCTCATGGGATTTGGTTCCTTGGTTTGGACATTTAGGGTCATAGTTTCATGGGACATCCCAATTAATTGGCCTAATGTGTTCAGTGCTTCTGTTCCACCTCCTAGTTTGTTGTGTAGTTCCTGGGGTCTTAAAAGCTTGCAAGTGGCCATCCAGGGTACAGCAGTTGGTCCAATTGGTTTATTTGTCTGAAGCAACAGGAATAGGAGGAGGAAATGGAATGTTTGGCTAATTGCCTCCATGAACAACTGCCTCCTTTACCATGAGACCAGAAGAACTGGATGGTGCCCAGCTCCCACTACTGAACATTTTGATCAAATATTCTATGGAAGAATCCCAATCAAAAAGGGGAAACTACAGAACAGAATTTCACATTTTCATGGACTCCAGACTTTCTGGAGCTCTGACAGCTGGATGAACCCCTGAAACTATTACCCTGAGATAATTTTTAAACCCTAAGTCAGAAATATCCCCTGAAGAAAGGTTAGTTCAACGGACTAATGGACCACAACTACCATGGCCTCTATCAGACTGAGTCCAGTACAATGAGATGGTACCTGGCTACCACCACTGACTGCTCTGACAGGGATCAGAACAGAGGATTCCGAACAGAGCTGGAGAAAAATGTAGAACAAAATTCTAACTCACGAAAAAAGACCAGACTTATTGGCCTGACAGAGACTGGAGAAACCCCAAGAGTATGGCCCCCGGACACCCTTTTAGCTCAGTAATGAAGTCACTTCTGAGGTTTCACCCTTCAGCCAAAGATTAGACAGCCCCATAAAACAAAATGAGACTAATGGGGCACAACAGCCCAGGGACAAGGACTAGAAGGCAGGAAGGGACAGGAAAGCTGGTAATAGGGAACCCAAGGTCGAGAAGGGAGAGTGTTGGCATGTCGTTGGGTTGTTAACCAATGTCATAAAACAGTATGTGTACTAACTGTTTAATGAGAAACTATTTGTTCTGTAGACCTTCATCTGAAGTACAGTTAAAAAAGGCAAAGAAAAAAATAATAAAGTACAATAAAAATAAAAATTTTAAAAAAAGCTAACCCGCAAACACATTCAAATGTGTGATATGCCAGATTTTAACACACTGGAAACCCCCGAAGTATTAATGTACATTCTCATTGTTTGCCTGTTTAATAAGTAAATATTTTGCATGTCAGTGTATTAAATAAGTTTGTATTAAAGATACTATTTTACCTGTTTAAAAAAAAAATCCTCTGAAGTCTTCTTTTGTGAGTGTGTTTGTTGATTAGATATATATAAAATAATACTTCATTGTGTTTTCAGTGAAAGTTTACACAGCATATTAGGTTCCCATCCCCTGAAGTCTTCTTAAAAACAAACAGTAGTTTAGCTTAACTACTAAAGAATGTCTGCCTTGAGCATTGTGTTCTTTTAAGATCTATCAATGTGGGATCAAGCTGACAACAGGAACTTGAAAGATTAGATAGGAACCTTAGGGAGCAGTGAGTTTATGTTAATGGAGGAGGAGCAACTCAGAAAAGGAGGGTGAGAATGGTTGCACAACTTGAAGAGCGTAATTAATGTCACTGAGTTGTACGTGTAGAAATTGTTGAATTGGTGTATGTTCTGTGTATTTTCTCAACAAGAACAACAACAAAAATAAAATTAAAAACTATTCTGTATATGAAACTTGTTTTCAAATAGGGTACTACTCAGTGTTAGGTAACTTAATATCCTGACTTTGTTATTACTTTTGATGTAGGAAAAGTCTAAGATATTATGGAGATGTTTGCTTTCAATGTATCATCAAATTCTTCTCTTAGAGTTAACTTTCTGAGTGAAGAAATCTCTGTTCTATGGTAGAGGTTTGTGAGAGGATTTGTGAAGCCTTACAAAGGGCTTTAGTTGATCAAACGTAATCTCAAAAAGAATTATAAATGATAATTATTTCATTTAAGCATTTTGAAGTATTCTTATGATACACAGCATTAAATTGATGATTGTGGTGTCTCTCTTTATAATACGGATCTTACAGTTTCTGTTACTGTTGGGATTATGTGTGATTTCATGAGCAAAATGCTAGGTAGTGTTTGCCAAAACAGGTGAAATTTTATATGTTGCTAAATCTTACTAAAATGTAATTTGTTTGTTACAGTTGGGCTGATTGTTTTTCAGAGGAAAACATCGGACTTTTGGCAATATACCTTATTTTTCTCTAGAAAACAAAGTTGATCAGGTATTGAGGACTTCATTCATTCCTCTTTATTGCCAGGTCTTTTCTGACTAATAACTTGAGAGACATGGAGACAACTACCTCTTTATTTTGACTGAAGTCCTCAAATGGCAATAGATTGTGAATTAAAATGCTAGCATTGATATTAATTTGATTGCGATGAGCCACCCAGTTTTTCTTTAACTTAGTTTTTTTTTTTTAAAAAAAAAAACTTAGTTTTGACTTTTTATTCAATCATAGAAAAACCTAGAACTCATGTGTAGGATGAATACAGTACATATTTGTATTGCTGCCAGGCAGACATGCATAGATTTTCTAAAGCTTTTTGCACTTGCTTTTTATTTGGGGCTAAAATACAGGAAAACAAAAGACATGTACTATTTGTGTTTAATTAAAAAAAAATTAAAACCACAGGAGTTACTTATGAAGCCAAATATTCAAGGAGACTGATGTTATGACTCGGGGCGGTGTTTCTCAAGGAGTCCCCCAGAACTAGATGGTAGTAGGTGTTCTTCAAAAAAAGAAAAAAATGCTTCCTTGCTCTGATAACGTTGGGAACTTTGTCAGGACATGCCTTGAGACATTAGTGTTAAGCAGAATACTTTCTGGAAACTTAAAATCAGTGAGACTAGAAAGATCACTATCCTCCCTTGATTTTAAAGTTTCACCTTGATAGTATCAACCAAGTACAGTATCCCCCCCACCCCCCAAAAAAACCAAACTCATTGTCATCCAACTCGTAGCAACCCTATAAGACAGAGTAGAACTGCCCCATAGGGTTTCCAAGGAGCACTGGTGAATTCGAACTGCTGACCTTTTGGTTAGCAGCTGTAGCTCTTAACCACTGCAGGGCTCCAAGTACAGTATAACAAACCAAAACCAGAGCTGTTGCGGTTGAGTTGATTCTGATTCATAGTGACCCAATAGCAACCCTATAGTATAGTGACTTGCAAATGGTTTACTTGAATGTTAATTCTGAAATGCCTTAATGCAGTGGTTCTCAACTTTAGAGTGCATCAGAATCACCTGGAGGGCTTAAAACAGATTGGTGGACTCCATCCCCAGAGTTTCCGTTTTAGTGGGTCTGGAATAGGGCCTAAAGATTTGAATTTCTAACAAGAGCTCGGGTGATACTCATGCTGCTGGTCCACAGAACACATTTGAGA